CTCTATTAAAATTTTAAGTGCCAACGGTTCCTTGAATGATCAATGCAATTGTTGAAAAATCTTTCCTTTCAGAAATAAAAACTTCAGCCAAAAAAAAAAAAAAAAAAAAAAAAGTGCCTGCCACCAAGCCTGACAGCCTGAGTTCGATTCCTGGGACCCACATGGTGGAAGGAGAGAACTGACTCCTACAAGTTGTCCTTGACTTCCACACACACATCATGGCACATGCGCAAAATAAATAAATAAATGTAACAAATATGTAAAGAAATACATAAAAGCAAGCAAAAAACAAACAATGAAAGGGGCTGGAGAGATGGCTCAGTGGTTAAGAATACTGGTTGTTCTTGCAGAAGACCTGGGTTCGAATCCCAGCACCCACATGGCAGCTAACAACTGTCCATAACTCCAGTTCCTGGGGATCTGATGGCCTCTTCTGTCCTTTGCGGGCATTGCATGACACAGGTGCACTTACCTACATGCAGGCAATACCCACATACACATAAAATAAAAATAAAAAATAATAAAATATTTAAAAGAAAACAAAAAAAACAAACAACAAAAATCTGGAAGGCAAAAGCACAGCTCTGATAGGCAACTTCTAGTCCCTCTGGTTTCTTTTACAGCAGGCCTGTCCCTAGCCCATGACACAACTGTTGTTCATCCTATGTCCTGGGGTGAAGGCATGGCATTTATTGGCCTTCGTCACTTTAATGAAAAAGCCCCTACATGGAATAAATACCAACACAGACATTTGCAACTAATTATGGTATTGCTGATCAGTCAAATTTCATTGCAAATTGCATGTTGAAATTGATAGTGTGCAAGTGATGAATCAACTGCTTGTCTGGAAAAGTAACAGTGGCACAACAGGACTAGATTAATAATTCAATTTTGCCTCAGCCAGATACCCTGAAGAGGAGGAAAAAGCAGATTAGCATGACCCGTAGAGTGGTTATGCACTGGAGTAGCTCCTGCCAGTGTGCCTGGCTTCTGAGGGCAGCCCAGCCTGCTGCAGGATCCTCCCTCCCACTTTGAGAGACCGCAGGGCATTGAGTATTCCAGGCTTTAATTCTTGGTTTGTAAAATTGCAGTTTGACTGCTGTTGGGAGGGAGTCAGCCCTCCATCGCCATTCTTTGTTGAGAAGCCCACTCAGGTGTGGTCTTGGGGGACAGACGGCACTCCTGTCCTCCCATTTCTGGTTCCTGGGCTAGGGGGACACAGCCCACCATGAAAGCAGGTATGCAGCTGGGGATGTGACTCAGTTGATAAAGTACTTGCCTAGCATACCCAAAGCTCTGGGCTTGAACCCCAACACTGTATAAAACTGGGTGTAGTGGCACATGCCTGTAATCTTAGCACTCAGGAGGTAGAGGCAGGAGATCAGGAATTCAAGGTCATCTTCATCTATGTAAGTTTTGGGCTAGCCTAGGATACATGTGTCCCTGTCTCAAAAAATAAATGAAAGGCTGGAGAGATAGTTCAGTGGTTAAGTGCACCAGCTGCTCTTGCACAGGACCCAGGTTCAGTTCCCAGCACCAACATGGTGGCTAACAACCGTCTGTAACTCCAGTTCCAGAGGATCTGATGCCCTCTTCTGAGCTTCTCGGGCATTGTACAACATAGGCGCACTTATACACATGCAGGCAATACACTCATACCATAAAATAAAATATTTTTTAAAAAGATGAATACAAACAAATAAACAAAACAAACAGAAGCCAAGTGGGTTCCTTGGGCAGGAGCCAAAGCACCTTGCAGAAGAACCCACCTGACTTTTTATGGATTCCAGAGGGCTACGAAGCCCAGAGCAGAGGTAATTCCAGCTTGGTATGGAGATGGATGGGCAATACCTTCAGGATTGAGCCTTCAGCCATGTCTTCTCAGAATGCATCGCTATGTCCCAGAACCTGGGAAGGAAAGCAGGAGGGAGACATGGCAGGAGGGCCCTACGGGCATCAGTGGACAGGCACCTGTACCTGGGAGGTGAGAGGCACAGCCACAGTGGCCCCCTGTGCCTAGAGCGCTGCACTCTGAGCCTGCTGGGCCAGCCGCGGGAGGAGCCAGTCATGGGCTGCCATGTTGACTGAGTCACTGCCTGCCTTCCAGATGCAGAATGAAGCAAAAACCTTAGTTTTCCTCCTCTAACTTAAGAGTCAAAGCTGGAATGTCTGCAGGAAAGCAGGCCAAATATGGACTGGGGAGAACTGGCAAGCAGAGCCTGATTGTTAGGGGTGGCTGTGAGTCAGCCTCCGGAGACAATAGGAATGGAATTCAGAAAAAGCCTCTGACAGGGAAATGCATTTGGAAGATGCCAGGCGCTGAATGGTGTTTAGAGCCAGGACCCTGGAGGAGGTCATCAGGTAGGGAGGGTAGGTAGAGGCAAGATGTGCAAGGATAGCTTAGAGATGAACATACACCAGCAAGGGGGACAGAGACAGGCCAACTGAGGAGATAAAGGAGATGGGGGTGGGGGGTAAGGAGGGGGTGGGGGGTCCCCACTTGATGCTGAGGAGGAGAGATGAACAACGAACTCTCTCTCCTTTTTTTTTCTGGTCTTTTTGAGACAGGGTCTCCCTGTAGCCCCAGCTGGCCTGGAACTCACTATGTAGACCAGGCTGGCCTTGAACTCAGAGATCTGCCTGCCTCTGCGTCCTGAATGCAGAGATAAACTTTTATATGCTATAGAGATACAAGGCAGGTAAGGTCCAAGGATTGACCACTAATCTTAAAGCTGTAGAGAGAGACTCTTTGATGGCAGTTTGGGGGTAGTGGTGGGGGGTGAAGTGAGTTGAATAAAGGAGAGGAAAGGGAAGAGGGCTTGAAGGTGGCCCAAAGGGTCAATTGCTTCTAGAAGTTATACCACAGAGGGGAGCCGAGAAAGGTTTTTGAGAATATCAGGCCATGAATTTTTCTTTTCAGAGAGAAAAATTGCAGCTTTTTGCATGTTGGTGGAAATAATCACAGAGACAGGGAAGTATGGGTAAGAAGGGGGTGAGAGCTGGCACAGAGCCCTGGAGGGGCAGGTGGGGTTGGCATCTGGTGCACAGCCGGGTGCGGTGGCGAATGCCTGTAATCTCAGCACTTGGGAGGTGGAAGCAGGAGAATCAGGAGTTCAAGGTCAGCCTTGGCTACCTAGCAAATTCAAGGCCAGCCTGGGCTACATGAGACCCTGCCACAAAAAAAAAAAAAAAAAAAAAAGAGAGAAAGAGAAAAGAGAAAAGAAATGGGGCTGCCCTGCCATGGGACAAGGGCCGGGTGCTGTCTCAGTGGGAGGAAAGGCAGAGCGGATGGGCACAGATGCAGGTGGGTGGGCAATGGCAGAGCCAGCGCAACTTCTGTGCCGAGGGCTTCTATTTTCTTAGCAAAATCGGAAGAGGTTGTCAGCTGAGAGTGAGGTGGAGGAGGAGGTGTGAAGCAATCGTCTAGGAGAGCGGGTGTGAATAGACTTGGAGATGGAGCACGGTGCCTGGGCAGCTTCTACCACTCATGGAGGGTTGTGGTCGGTGAGTAAGACCAGGCCTGAGCCCACAACTTGGTGGTAGAGAGCATGCTTAGCGTGCACGAGGCTTTGATCCCTAGCATTGCAGAATAAATCAAAGAACTGATGAATCAGCTCAGCGAGTTATAGTTTACCCTCAGTCCTCATCAGCCTGTGGGTCCCATGTGTATCCCCAGGTTGTGGCTTTGTCAGGTGACAATACTGTAGTATTATAGTATATTAGTATATATTATTATAAAATATAGAGTAGCAAGACCAAAAGGTGATGGTGAGACAAGGTCTCCAGGCTGGGTCAGGAGTGAAGTGGGATGCTAGACAGATAACGGTGATCTGATATTTGTTCAGATCAATGGGTCTTAGGATGAAGTGTTGGGTTCTAGGTACTGTGATGGTGAGCTGCAGAGAAAGGCAGTGTCTATGGGAGAGTGGGATGCATGAAGCTGAGATGTGGAAGAGTCACAGTGACAGAAAACCAACCTTTAGAATCCTGGCTACAGGAGGGGAGGCTGAGCCAGTGTGGAGGCCTGATCTTGAATAGGTCAAGGGCTCAGAGACATGGTTGTGTTCTAGAATGCTGGAATCAAAAGCTACAACAGGAGCCAGGTGTGGTGGTGCATGCCTGTAATCCCAGGAGGCCTAGGGTTTCAAAGTTAGCCTCAGCTGCAGAAAGAGTTTGAGGCCAGCCTGGGCTATAAGAGACACCAGCTCAGTAACAACAATAAAAATTGAGTTATTATATATCCCCAGCCCCAGTCATTAGTATTTATATTTATTGACTTTTTATTTTATGTGTATGAGTGTCTTGCCTGTATGTATGTAATGCATCGTGTGTGTGCAATACCCACAGAGGCCAGAAGAGGGTGTCAGATCCCCTGGAACTGGAGTTACAGAGAGTTGTTAGCCTCCATGTGGGTGCTAGGAACGAAACCCTGGTCCTCTGCAAGAGCAGCCAGTGCTCAGTGTTCATAACTGCTGAGCCATTTCTCCAGTCCCATATTTTTAATTAAGTGTGTGTATGTGTGTGAGCATAGGTGTGCTCATACCCACAGTGCACATATGGAGGTCAGAGGAGAACTTTCAAGAGTTGGTTCTTACCTTCCACATTGTTTTTGAGGCAGGGTCTCTCTCTGGTCTGGGTACCCCAGCCTAGCTGTTGAACAAGCTTCTTGCAGATCTCATTGGTATCTCTAAGGAGGATACACTGGAAGTAACATAAAAACAATGAGCTGGGCTTGGAGGCTTAATCCTATAATCGCAGCATTTGGGAGTCCGAGGCAGGAGGATCTCAAGCCAGGTTGGGCTATGTAATGGGGACGATGACTCAAATAAAAAAATAAAAGCAAAATCTCACAACAATCTCTGGAAAACCCCCCACAAGGGTGACCCTCCCCATCTCTAGACCCAAGGGACACATAGACTAACCAGAGGGGACACACATGTTCTTAGAGATTGTGGAGGGAGGCAGTTTTCCATTTCACAAGGAAGTGATGGGGACACTCAGAAATGTTGAGAATATGGGTGTGGGGTTCATCTGAGGCCATGGGGTTCATTTAGAGACCTGTGAGAATTTCTGAAATGGCGGATGAAGGGGGATGAAGTCAGAGAAAGGTGGTGAGTCCCTAGGTTGAGAGAAGCCCGAGATTTCTGAGCCTCTTATGAGGGTGGATAGGAACCAGGACACCTGGCCTGATGAGCAAGGCACAGGATGGGGGCTGGGCAGAGGAAAGGAGAGATGGTTCCTCCTAACAGTGCTGTGGGTCTGAGGAGACGGTGACTCTGGCTCCTTCTTACTGCCTGGTAGGGATTTTTTGGTGCTAGGGATGAACCCAGGGCCTTGGCCATACCAAGCCTGTGTTCTACTCTTGAGCTCTTCACAGAACTGACACTAGGGCACAGATGCCACAATGAGAGAAAAATTTCCAGAAATAGACTTAGCTACGGCACAATACCGTATCTGTATATCTGTAATGATAAAGGTGGCTCTCAAGATAATAGGAGGAAGAAGTATAATTTGGGCTGGGGCTGGAGAGATGGGTCAGTGGTTAGGTCACTTGCTGTTCTTCCAGAGGACCCGGTTCAATTCCCAGCACCCACATGGTGGCTAACAATTCTCTGTAACTCCAGTACCAGGGACTATGACCCATCTTCTGACCTCTTCGGGCATTGCATGACAGGGGTGCACTTACATACATGCAGGCAAAACACTTATAACACGTAAATATATTTTATTTTTATTTTATGTGTATGAGTGTATTGCATTGCATGTATGTGAGTGCACCCATGTCATGCAATGCTTCAGAGGTCAGAAGAGGGTGTTGGATTCCCCTGGAACTGGAGTTAGGACGGTTCGTAGCCACCATGTAGGTTCTGGGACTCGAACTTGGGTCCTCTGCAAGAGCAGTCAGTGCTCTTAACCGCTGAGCCATCTCTCCAGCCCATAAAAAATATTTTTAAAAAAGTACAGTTTGAGGCCATGGGTGAGGGTGGGGCACAATTAACCAGTTGTGGAGTAAAATAAATTCAGATCTTCAGAACTTGTGCAAAAATGAATTCAAGTAGATTAATTCAGCTGTGGTGGCATTCACCTTTAATCCTAGCACTTGGGAGGCAGAGAGACAATGAAAGCTCTGTGAGTTCAAGGCCAGCATGTCTACATAGTTCCAGACCAGCCAGGACTACACAGTGAGACCTGGTCTCAAAAAACCAAAACAAAACAAAACAAAAAAAAAGATCAATCTCTACCACATCTTTAAATTCAGTACTCCAGAGGCTAAGACTGGTTGCTGTCTGTGAGTTCAAGATTAGCCTGGTCTACACAAGGAGTTCTAGGCCACCCAGGGCTACATAGTGAGACTTTGTCTTAAAAACAAACAAAAAGTAATAACTGGCTGAAGAGATGGCTCAGCAGTTAAGAGCACTTACTGCTCTTGAAGAGGATGGGGATTCAGTTCCCAGCACCCACATGGCAGCTAACTCTCTATAACTCTAGTTCCAGGGGAACCAATGCCCTCTTCTGGCCTCTGGGAGCACTGCACACACATGCTGGCAAAACACACAAAATACAAATAAATTTTAAAAATTTAAAAAGTAGTAATAGCCGGGCATGGTAGCACATGCTTTTAGTTCCAGCACTTGGGAGGCAGAGGCAGGCGGATCTTTGTGAGTTCAAGGCCAGCACCAGGGAGGCAGAGGCAGGTGGATCTGTGAGTGCAAGTGGGTTCAAGGCCAGCCTGGTCTACATAGCGAGTTCCAGGCCAGCTGGGGCTACAGGGAGACCCTGTCTCAATCTTTACAGTTGAATGAGTCCTTTGGGTATACACCAAGGAGTGGTAGCCCCCCCCCAAAAAAGAGGGTTTTTGTTAGTTTTTTTTTTTTTTTTTTTTTTTTAAAAAAAAAAAAAAAACATTCTTGGACTAGAGAGATGGCTTAGCAGTTAAGAGTGCTTGTTGCTCTTGCAGAGGCTCAAGTTCAATTCCCAGCACCCGGGTCACAACCTCCTGTAACTCTAGCTCCAGGGAGGATACAACACCCTCTTTTGGCCTCTTAGGGCAACTGCACTTACATGCAAATACCCCCATACAGATACACACATACACATATAATTACAAATAAAAAAAATGAATCTTAAAAAAGACAGTCTTTTTCTTTAAAAAATCATTGTTTTCTTTTGTTTTGGTTTGGTTTGGTTTGGTTTTTGAGGCAGGGTCTGTCTCACTATGTAGCCCCAGCTAGCCTGGAACTCACTATGTAGACCATCCCAGGCTGGCCTCAATCTCATTGACTGAGGCCAGAGGCCTGCCTCTGCCTCCCAAGTGCTGGGATTAAAGGTGAATTGCACCACACCTAGCTATTTTATTTTCAATTAAGTGTATGTGTCTGTGTTTTGTGTGGTTATATGCACATGAGTGCAGGTGTTCAAGGAGGCTAGAAGGGGGCATTGGATCCCCTGGAGCTGGAGTTACAGGTGGTTGTGAGCCCCCTGACATGGGCACTGAGAATCCAACTCAGGTCCTCTACAAGAGCAGTAAGCACTCTTAACCACTGAGCCATCTCTCCAGCCCCTAAAGACAGTCTTTATAAGATTAAGGAGTTTCTTTCCATTTCTTGTTTGGCAAAAGAGATTTTAAATTACTCATCCATTTAATCCAATCACTTTTGAGTTGTACCTAGTGGTTTTTCTGTATCCATTAAGATAACCAGCTAAACTTTCTCCTTTTGAAGTATGTTGTGATAAATTACATTAACTGGTGTTTGAATGTTAACCAAATGCTACATTCCTAGAGTTTACCACAACTTGGAGGTCAAATGTCTCATTTCTTTTATAGCTGGCCAAATTCCACTCATCACATCATTTAGTGTTTTGAGAAATGAGATTGACTTTAATTCTCCCTTATTGATCTTCAGATCTGGATCAGAATCATGTTGACTTGACGAAGTAAGAACTGTTCCCCAGGTGGAAACTCGTAAGCTTACAGGACAATTGTGCATTATTGGTATATGTTTCCCTTGAATGTTCAACATAACTAGAAGATAAAGCTATCTTGAATTTTTAGTTTTCTCTCTGGGAAAACTTTTAAAAAATACAGGGTCTCATGTAGCCAAGGTTGTCCTTGAACTTACTATGTAGCCAAGGATAACCTTAAACTTCTGATCCTCCTGTCTCCAACTCTGGAGTGCTGAGATAACACCACTATGCTTGGTTTATGCAGTGCTGGGAGCAAACCTGGGCTCCCTTGCATACCAGGCAAGCATTCTGCCAACTTAGAGATTTCTTCACCCTTATTATTTATTTATTTATTTATTTATTCATTTATTTATTGAGACAAGGTGTCACTATGTACCCCCAGCTAGCCTGGAACATATTATATAGACCAGACTGGCCTCCAATTCGTAAAGATCTGCCTGCTTCTGTCTCTCAAATGCTGGTATTAAAGAAGTGCACTATCACACCTGGATTTTTCTTTTTGAGACAGGGTCTTCCTGTAGCCCCAGCTGGTCTGGAACTTGCTATATAGACCAGGCTGTCCTTGAACTCACAGAGATCCGCCTGCCTCTGCCTCCCAAGTGCTGGGATTAGAGGCGTGTGCCACCACGCCCAGCTACTGGACTTTTCTTGTCTCTTTTCCCTTCCCTCTTCCTTCCTTCCTTTTCTTTGGTTTGGGACAGGGTCTCATGTAGCAAACTTGCTATGTATGTAGCTGAGACTGGGCTTGAATTAAAAAAAACTTTTAAAAAAATGTGTTTTTTTTGGTCTTTTTGAGACAGGGTCTCCCTGTAGCCCAGCTGTCCTAGAACTCACTATGTAGACCAGGCTGGCCTTGAACTCATAGAGATCCACCTGCCTCTGCCTCCCAAGTGCTGGTATTAATGGCATGCACCACCATGCCCAGCTCTAAAAAATTTTATTGTGTATGCACATGTAGATGCACCATGGCACATGTGCTCCGGCATGCATGTGAGGTCAGAAGAAACAACTTGTGGGAGTTGGTTCTCTTTCCATAATATTGATCCAGCGACTGAACTCAGGTCTTGGTCTTGGTGACAAGCTCCTTTACCTGTTGACCCTACATCTTGCAGGCCCTGTCCTTCCATTTTTATCCTTGTGCCTTCATCTCCCAAGTGCATGTGTGAACCACCGCACCCAACTGTAGGTGCATAATTGTACTCTTTAAGACTTATAGGACTATTGTGGTTTTCCATTTCTTCATGAGTCATTTGATAAATCATTGTTTCCAGGAAGTTTTTCATTTCATTGAAGCCCTTTATATTTATTGGCATTAAGTTGTTCATAATATCCTCTTAGTGTCTTTATTTACATATATGTGTGTGGTATATGTATGTGCATGTTTGTGTGCAGGTGCATATGTGTGTACACGCATGTGGAGACTAGAGGTGACACGGGGATTCTTCCTTTCAACTGACTTGTTTTAGATTCTTTGATATAGAATCTTTCTAAACAATCCTGACCGGACTAGTATTCACCATGAGGCCTGGGGTGGCCTTAAAATTGTAGCAATCTTCCTGTCTCAGTGCTGGGATTACATGTGTAGGACACCACGTCTGGCATGAATTTTGTTTTGTTTTTGTGTTTTTGAGACAGGGTGTCATCTCATTATGTTGCTCCAACTGGCCTGGAACTCCCTATTAGACCAGGCTGGCCTTGATCTCAGAGTTCTATCTGCCTCTGCCTCCTGAGTGCTG